AATCTATAAATCTATTAGGTTATCAAAAGAAGGTCTAAAATTTAAACCCATCAGATTACAAAAATGATATTTTTATAATTGATTAATTGACTTTTAATATATATTATATTTAATTAATTAGATTATTTCAATTTAATACTTTAAAATCTATTATAATATTAATGTTTATAAATTTTAAATATATAATTAATATAAAGTAAAAGTTATTAGTTATAAGTAATAAAAATATTGAATAAAAATTATTAAATTAAATAAGTTTAATTAAAATTAAAATAAAATTAATCAAAATTCAAACATAAATGGGTTTTCAAACTATTAAACAAGATTTTTAAACTTGTTTTTTCTTAATTAAAGATTTTATCTTAATATATCAATATATTTTTTTTAATTTTTTGAATTTTTATAATAAAAATAAAATATAAATATAAAGAATTTATTAAGTGTCAAAAAATAAAAAATAAAATTATATATAAAAAAGAGTTTTTTTAAAGTTTTATATAAATTAAATAATTATTTACTAAATTATATTAAAAAAATTAGTTAAAAAACTTTTGTAACAAATTATATTATAAAATTTTATAATATATATATATATATACAGTATATAATTTTAATAATTTTTTTATAAACCAAATAATTTTTTTTAACTTATAAATGATTTTTTGTCCATAAAATATATTAGTCAGAATTTTTTTTTAACTTTTTTTTTAAAAAAAACTTTGACATGATATTATTTAGATTTTAAAAAAATATACGTATTTGATATTTTATATTAATTGAATTATTATTTGTTAAGTTGTAATAATAATAATACTAATAATAAGTTTATTATGAATCTTTTAAAAAAGATAGATAAATAAAGATTATTATTTATTTTATTAATCTCAAAGATACATATGCAATTTCAATATTTAATCTCGAGACGGATAACGTATATTAGTGGTTACACGAGATCTTTCAATACAGTTATATTTACAGTTTCGATCATCTTTATACTTTTGGGCTTTTGTGCAAAATCGCGACACCTAATGCGGAGAGTCAGGACATTGCACTTAACAGTTATGCCAAAAATTTTGACACGATATACGAATCGACAATCTTGCATGCACAAAAACACATTCAATTATCTACCACGCATGGTTCTTCCATATGTTATTTTCACTTTGACGGAAACACCTTTCTTGACTAACTTACGAATTTGGAAATATAAATTCAACGTGAATAAGCCTACGAGGCGAAAGCAATCACAATTAGTGTCTCTAGAACTCAGAAAAAAATTTGATAAGGGTCCAAAGGTGACTACACATAATAAAAATACTCAAGAAAAACGGCATAAAACTCGAAGAAACTCGTATAGGAAACCGTCGAATTCAATATGGTCTAAATATCTCGAACTATCGAAAAAAGGCGAACTGCATTCATTTTCTGAAGGAGACTTTCTAGTAATAATATCAAGATTGTTAAAATTAGATAGAAAATGGAAACCTCGGAATATTTTATATTGGA